TAGATTTGGATATGTTGAACCATCATTGCATCCCTGGAATAAATCCAAGTTGATCATGATGAATTATCTTCTTAATATGTTGTTGAATTCAGTTTACTATAATACTATAATAGTTTGTTGAGGACTTTTGCATCTGTGTTGGTCAGGGATATTGGCCTGTTGTTTTCTTTTTTTGTTATGTCTTTGTCTAGTTTTGGTATCAGTGTAATGCTGGTCTCGTATAATGAATTTGAAAGTATTTCCTCCTCTTTGTAGCTTGCGGTGAGCTGAGATCGCACCACTGCACTCCAGCCTAAGTGACAGAGCGAGATTCCATCTAAAAGAGAAAAAAAGAAAGTATTTCCTCCTCTTCAGTTTTTTAAAATACTTTGAGTAGAACTGGTATTTGTTCTTCTTTAACTGTTTGGTGGAATTCAGCAGTGAATCCCTCAGCTCTTGGACTTTTCTTCACTGGGAGACTTTATTACTGCTTTAACCTCATTGTTTGTTATTGGTCCGTTAAAGTTTTCTATTTCTTCATGGTACAATCCTGGTAGATTGTATCCAAGAATTTATCCCATTTTGTCTAAATTTTCCAATTTGTTAGCATATACTTGTTCATAATAGTCTCTAATGAGTCTTTGTACTTCCGTGGTCTCAGTTCTTATGTCTCCTTTTCATTTGTGAGTTTATTTGAGTCTTTTCTCTTTTTGTTAGTCTAGCTAAAGGTTTGTCAATTTTATCCTTTTTTTTTTGAGACAGAGTCTCGCACTGTTGCCCAGGCTGGAGTGCAATTGCACGAGGCTCACTGCAATTTCTGCCTCCTGGGTTCATGCGATTCTCCTGCCTCAGCCTCCTGAGTAGCTGGGATTACAGGCGCACACCACCACACCCGGCTAATTTTTTTGTATTTTTAGTAGAGACAGGGTTTCACTATGTTGGCCAGACTGGTCTTGAACTCCTGACCTCGTGATCTGCCTGCCTCGGCTTCCTAAAGTTCTGGGATTACAGGCGTGAGCCACCGCTCCCAGCGCTATCTTTAAAAAAAAAAAAAAATTTCATTTCATTGATCTTCTGTATTTTTTAGTCTTAATTTCATTTACTTATTCTCCAATCTTTAGTATTTCTTTCCTTCTACTAATTTTGGGCTTGGTTTTTTCTTGCTTTTCTAGTCCTTTGAGGAGCATAGTTAGGTTGTTTATTTGAAGTCTTTCTATTTTTCTGATATATTTGTTTGTTGCTATAAATGTATCTCTTTGTACTGCTTTTGGTGTCTCCCATAGATTTTAATATGTTGAATTTCCATTTTCATTGCTTCAAGAAATTTTTAAATTTCTTTCTTAATTTCTTCATTGACTCATTATTTGTTCAGGAACATGTTGTTTAATTTCCATGTGTTTGTGTATTTCCAAGGTTCCTCTTATTATTGGTTTCTAGTTTTATTCCCTTGTGGTCAGAATAAATACTTGAAGGCTGGGAGCAGTGGCTCATGCCTGTAATCCTAACACTTGGGGAGACCGAGGTGGGTGGATCATTTGAGTTCAAGAGTTTGAGACCAGCTTGGACAACATGGTGAAACCCCATTTCTACTAAAAATACAAAAAAAAAAATAGCTGGGCGTGGTAGTGCATGCCTGTAGTCCCAGCTACTCAGGAGGCCGAGGCACGGGAATCGCTTGAACCTGGGAGGTGGAGCTGCAGTGAGCCATGATCATGCCACTGCACTCCATCCAGCCTGGGCAACAGAGTGAGACAATGTCTCAAAAAAAAAAAAAAGAAAGAAAGAAAAGAAAAAAAAACTTGGTGTAATTTATACTACTTTGAATTTGTTGAGACTTGTTTTGTGGGCTAAGATATGTTCTAATCTGGAGAATGTTCCATGTGCTGATGAAAAGAATGTGTATTCTGTAGCAATTGAGTGAAATGTTTTGTAAATGTTAGTTAAGCCTATTTGGTCTAGTATGTAATTTAACTCTGATGTTTCTTTGTTGATTTTCTGTCTGCATGATCTGTCCATTACTGAGAATGGGGTGTTGAAGTCCCCTGTTATTATCATATTGCAGTCTATCTCTCCCTTTAGATCTCTTAACGTTTGCTTTTTAGACTTAGGAGCTCCAGTGGTAGGTGCATAGATATTTATAACTGTTATATCCTCTTGCCGAATTGACCCCTTTGTCATTGTATAGTGACTTTTTTTGTCTCTTTTTACAGTCTTTGATTTGTAGTCTGTTTTATCTTTTAAGTATAGCTACACCTGCTCTTTTTTGGTTTTCATTTACATGTAATATCTGTTTTCCACCCCTTCACTTTCAGTCTATGTGTGTCTTTATAGGTGAAGTTGTGTTTCTTTTAAGCAGAATATAGTTGGGGCTTGTTTCTTTACCCATTCAGCCACTCTATGCCTTTTAATTGGAGAATTGAGTCCATTTACATTCAGTGTTATTATTGATAAAGACTTACTACTGCCAATTTATTACTTGTTTTGTAAACCCTCTCTTCCCTTCTTATGGTTTTCCTTTGTGGGTAAATGATTTTCTCTGGCAACATGTTTTAATGTGTTGCCTTTTATTTCTAATGAATCTGTTATAGGTTTTTGTCTTGTGGCTACCATGAGGCTTCCAAGAAAACATCTTATAGATACAACAAAAGTTATTTTAAAGGGATTATAATTTATCTTAAGTCACAAAAAATACTGATCGACAGAAAAACAAAACCTCAAAATTTAACTCCATCCCCCCTACATTTTAACTTTGTTTTCTCTATTTACATATTTTTATATTGTCTGTCTCTTAACAGGTTGCTGTAGCTACCTTCTGCATATGAATATCCAGTTTTCCCAGCACCACTTATTAAATAGACTGTCTTTTCCTCAGTGTATGTTCTTGGCACCGTCATTGAAAATGAATTCATTGTAGGTGTGTGGGTTTGTTTCTGGGTTCTCTATTCTGTTCAATTGGTTTATGTGTCTGTTTTTATGCCAGTACCATGTCATTTTAGTTACCAGAGCTCTGTAGTATAATTTGAAACCAGGTCATGTGATTCCTCCAGTTTTGTGTTATTAGGATAGCTTTGGCTATTCTGAATCTTTTGTGTTTCCATACAAATTTTAGAATTTTTTTTTCTATTTATGTGAAGAATGTCATTGGTATTTTGATAAGGATTGCATTGAATCTGTAGATTGCCTTGGGTAGTATGGACATTTTAACAATATTGATTCTTCCAATCCATGAACATGGAATACATTTCCCTTTTTTGGTGTCCACTTCAATTTCTTTCATCAGTCTTTTATAGTTTTCATTATAGAGATCTTTCACTTCTTGGGTTAACTCCTACGTATTTGATTTGATTTGTGGCTATTGTAAATGGGATGACTTTTTTTTTTGGCGGGGGGATGGGGGACGGAGTTTCATTCTTGGCCACCAGGCTGGAGTGCAATGGCGCAATCTTGGCTCACTGCAACCTCCGCCTCCCAGGTTCAAGCAATTCTCCTGTCTCAGCCTCCTGAGTAGCTGGAATTACAGGTGCCCGCCACCACGCCTGGCTAATTTTTGTATTTTTAGTAGAGACACGGTTTCACCACGTTGGTCAGGCTGGTCTTGAACTCCTGACCTCAGATGATCTGCCCACCTCGGCCTCCCAAAGTGCTGGGATTACAGGTACAAGCCACAACTCCCGGCAAGGGATTACTTTTTTAATCTCTTTTTAAGATTTTTCACTGTTGGCATATAGAAATCCTACTAATTTTTGTATGTTGATTTTGTATCCTGGAACTTTACTGAATTTGTTTATAACTTGTTTATTTGTTTATAATAGTTTTTTGGTGGACTCTTTCAGTTTTTCCAAATATAAGATCATATCATCGGCAAACAAGGACAGTTTGATTTCTTCTATTCCAATTTGGATGCCCTTTATTTCTTTCTCTTGTCTGATTGCTCTAGTTAGGACTTCCAGTACTATGTTGAATAACAGTGGTGAAAGTGGGCATCCTTGTTGTGTTCCAGATCTTAGAGAAAAGGCTTTCAGTTTTTCACCATTCAGTTTGATACTAGCTGTGGCAGCTTCCATGAGAATCACGCAGTTTGAAGAAGCATTTCACTGAAAACATAGGAATTGCTATTCTGGAAAGATAAAACAATTGTCCACAATCCTAAAGAAGAAGTGAACACAGTAATTAAATCCGTGTTATTCTGGGTCTAAAGCTTATATTCTTTTTTTTTTTTTTGAGACGGAGTCTCGCTCTGTCGCCCAGGCTGGAGTGCAGTGGCCGGATCTCAGCTCACTGCAAGCTCCGCCTCCCGGGTTTACGCCATTCTCCTGCCTCAGCCTCCTGAGTAGCTGGGACTACAGGCGCCCGCCACCTGGCCCGGCTAGTTTTTTGTATTTTTTAGTAGAGATGGGCTTTCACTGTGTTAGCCAGGATGGTCTCGATCTCCTGACCTTGTGATCCGCCCGTCTCGGCCTCCCAAAGTGCTGGGATTACAGGCTTGAGCCACTGCGCCCGGCCCCTAAAGCTTATATTCTTAATTACTATATTATCCCATCTTAAAATTTTAATTGGAAACTACAAATCTAAATATTATAATTAATAAAGTTGAACACACATGATGAAGTGTGAAGAGAAGTAAAAAACAGATGTATGAAATGATTCCATGATTACTAATGTGCTTATGTTTCAAGGAGTTTTCACAACCCAACAAAACTTACCCTCTCTGGGGCCTTTCTAAAAACAAACCAACAACAACAGAAAGCTCATTCTCTGTTTTTCCACCTGCTGTTATCTGCTCCACAAAACAAAAATGCATCTTATTCACCTTAGAATCCGCAGGTACTTGGTAGAGGCTCAAAAAATGTTTACTTAGTAAAACCAAAATGTCTTCCAAAAAATAACAATAGTTGTTTTCTTTTTCTTTTCTTTCTTTCTTTCTTTTTTTTTTTTTTGGATACAGAAACCCACTCTGTCACCCACGCTGGAGTGCAATGGCACGATCTCGGCTCACTGCAACCTCTGCCTCCTGAGTTTAAGTGATTCTCCTGCCTCAGCCTCCCGAGTTGCTGGAATTACAGGTGCCCACCACCATGCCCGGCTAATTTTTCTATTTTTAGTAGAGACGGGGTTCTGCCATGTTGACCTTGCTGGTCTCGAACTCTTGGCCTCAAGTGATCTGCCCACCTCAGCCTCCCAAAATGCTGAGATTACAGGCATGAACCACCACGCCTGGCCAAGTAACAATATTTCTGGATATAATACCTCAGAACTCAGCACAGAAAGATATAAAAGGATAAAAAAATTATAGTCATATAATGGAATAAAATGAAATGTAAAGCAATAAAAAGGAATGGACAACTGATACATGTAACAATATGGATGAATCTCAAAAGCAATATCAAAAGATCAAAAGGGTATATATTACATGATTTCATTCTGGAAAAGGCGAAACTATAGGGACAGAAAACAAGTCAGTGGTAGGCATTGCAGGGGGGCAAGTGATTTATTACAAAGAGGCATGAAGAAACTTTAGGGTGACATAAATGTTCTATGTCTTTATATGGTCGTGGGTACATGACCGTATACCTTTGAAAGAGGTATATCTAAAAGGGGTGAGTTTTACTGTGTATAAATTATACCTCAATGAACCTGACTAAAAAAATAAAAGAAGATACAAAGATCCTAATATAACACTGTTTGTTAATTTACTTAAAATACACCTATTAATTTTGAAGTAAATATCAGAGAATTTCATAGAAGCTATAAAAGCAATTGTCCTGCCATTATCACAGTCAAATAATCATTTAACTATAGCATTTCAAAGATACAGTTAATTCTAACTATTTATTTGCTATTGTTTTTGTGAAGAACATTTTGTACCTGAAAAGGAGGCAAGAAATGAGATAGTGGACTTTAATTTGGGAGAAATACATAGAGCTAGGAAATGGAAAGGAGTAAAAAAATGAGCTTTCTTCTATGAAAGGTACTTAAGGGCTGGGCGCAGTGGCTCATGCCTGTAACTCCAACACTTTGGGAAGTGGAGATGGGCACGTCAAGTAAGCTCAGGAGTTCAAGACCAACATAGGCAAAATGGCAAACTCCATTTATACAAAAAATACAAAAATTAGCCCGGTGTGGTGGTGTGTGCCTGTAGTCCCATTTACTTGGGAGACTGAGGTGGGAGGACAACTTGAGCCCAGGAAGAGGAGGTTGTAGTGAGCCAAGATTGTGCTACTGTACTCCAGCTTGGATGACAGAATGAGACGCTGTCTCAAAAAAAAGAAAAGAAAAGGTACTTAATATCTTCAAATATTCAAGATTTGAATGAGAAAAATGTGATTTTAGGTCAGGTGTATATAAAAAGTATCTAGCAATTCAAATTCATAGCTGCTTATCTTCATGGACCGTTTCCTTGTTTGGTTATCTCTGTCACGGTTCATATCACACCGAGGGTTGTTACGTGCTGGCTTTCACATCTTCCTGTTCATTCACTCATTCACTAGACTTTTCACTCATTTAATCATTGTTTTCAAACATCTCTGTGTGCCAGACACTGGAGTAGAGATGCAACAGTGAGTAAAACCCATGAGATCCCTGCCCTTTCATTACATTTAATGAGAAGAGAGACAAAAAAAAAAAAGTTGATACTTTCAGATTATGTTAAGTGTTATGAAGAAATAAAACAGGATAATGGGGCTCAAAATGACTTTGCATGTGAGAGATAGGTGGATGGAATATTTTAGATAGAATGGTGAAGGGATCTGAGGAGACAATTTGTACTGACAGCTCTGGGAAGTAAACGAAGAGAAGGAGCCAGCCATGGGAAGAGTTCCAGCCATAGGAAACAATAAGAGCAAAAGCCTGAGACAGAAATGCATTTGACATTAAATGAGAGGGCTGTAAAGCAGGCCTGTGTGGCCAGGGTACAGTGAACAAGGGGAGAATGGTAGGAAAGCTGTGCAGGTCTTAGAGACTTTGGAAAAGAGCTTCAGTTTTTTCTAAGAGCGATGGAAAATTATCATAGGGTTTTAAGTAGCACAGAGATGTGGTGGTTTTTTTTTTTTTTTTTTTTTTTTTAAAGGCTCTCTGGCTTCTCTAATAGTGGACAAGAGGATAAACCTGGAAAATAATTAGATGGCCACTGCAGTCATCCAAGCAAGACATGATGACTTGGACTAGGGTGGTAGCTGTCACAGTGGTGAGAAGAGGTTTGATTCATGTTCTTTTTTACATATGAGGCTGAAAAGACTTGCTGATGGATTGGTTTGGGGGTGGTTGGTGAGAAGAAGTACTGGGTGAGTGGGGATGCTTTATTCAAAATGTACGAAACTGGGAAAGGAGAAAATTCTGGAAAGACCAATAATTTTTCTCAGTCTTGTTACGTTTTAGATGGCTTAAGAAATACAGGTGGAGATGTGAGAAGGCAATTAAATATTCAAGGAGATCGGGGCTTGAGTAAAGGAAGAAGTAAACAAGAAGAAACACCAATGAAATAGGAGAAAAATTGAAAGCATATGGTTACAGAAGCCAACTACAGAATGGATTTTAAATAGGAGGAAATGGTCACCTCTGCCAAATTTACAGAGTGATCAGATTAGAGAGGACTGAGAATTGACATGATCTTTGGTAAGATCAAAGTCACTGGTGACAGATCTGGTAAACATTATTTCAGCAGATACAATGAACATATGATTGGAGTGGGTTGAACAGAGAAAGAGAAGTTAGAAAGTAGAAAGAGCAAGTATAGGCAACTCTTGATAAGCTTTACTGTGAAGGCATGCCGAGATACAGGGCAGAAGCCTGCAAGGATGGGGAGTCTAGAGAGAGTTTAGTCAAGCAGGATAATAATAAGGCATGATGCAGAAAAGAGGACACGAGTGGCAGGAGTGAAATCCTCAAATAGTCAGGAGGGCATGGGATCCAGAGCCCTGGAAAGGACAACCTCATTGTGAAAGGAGGGAGAACAATGTATTCAGGTTCAGATAGGTTGGTAGATTTGATAGTGGGAAGATATAATTACTGCCTGAGGCTTCTGTTCTTGCAGTGAAGTGTAAATTGAGATCACTAGTTGAGAGTGAGGAACGATGAAGTGTTGGAGGTTTGAGGAGAGAGGATATGTGAAATAAATAACTTGGAGAGTCAGAGAAAATGTCATGTTCATATTTGTATCCCAGCATCCTACCACTGCCTGGCACATAGGAGGCACTGAAAAACAGTTTTGAAGAGTGACTGAAAGTAAGAATCCAAAAAGAAAGAACAATGATACACACTTAAAACTTATATCTTAATACAAGAATGATATATTTGTAGAATATATTGGTTTATAAATGGTTTAGCATCTACTTGAATTTACTCAAGAAATTCCAGAATACTAGAGGAAGGAGGCATACCTGCAAAAGGTAATTTAAGACAAGATGATCACTTTACACTTTATTTACAAAACCACCTTTCTCATTAGGCTGATTTTTTCAAGAGTAAGGAGATGCTGTCTTTTCATCTTAATATTCTCAGGACATGCGTTAAACAGTGCCTGGCACAAAATTAAGTGCACAATAATGCTTTTTTGGTTTTTTATTTGTTTGTTTTTGAAACAGGGTCTTGCTCTGTCACCCAGGCAGGGGTACAGTGGTGTGATCACAGTTTACCACAGCCTCAACCTCCTGGGCTTAAGTGATCCACCCCAACCTCTCAAGTAGATGGGACTATAGGCGTGTGCCCCCATACCCAGCTAATTTTATTTTTTGTAGAGATGGGATCTCACTATGTTGCCCAGGCTGGTCTCAAACTCCTGGGCTTAAGCAGTCCTCCTGTATCTCCCAACGTATTAGGATTACAGGCATGAGCCACCACACGGTCCAATAATGCTTTTTTGAATAAATAAATGACTATAATCACATGGAGCTTCTAATCTCCAGAGGATTTACAGGCTGAAACAGAAAAGTCTCCAAAAGAATTTAAATACTTCAGGGATGAAAAGCCGAAATGGATTGATTGTAAAGACAAACAGATGCTTTAGGGACATTTTAAGGGAGTCACAATATACAACCACACATTTCCACAAAACTTTCTTTGTAACATTGTTTCAAGAATAAAAAATAACCTAAATTATTTTGGGTCTTACTGGTGTGGCAATTTTTATATTTGCTTGAGTTTATAGGCTCTTTGACCTTTTCTCTATAGTAGTAATAGATTTTTGTCACTATGCATTATAGTGAACTACATTCCCAGATGCCTTAGAACCACCCATCTTTGTCCCTTTCCTCCTCTAGGAGGGCTCTGAGAGATTTCATTTCTGTCCTGCTGATGAAGTCTACGTTCATTCAGGGCCTGCTGTGGAAGACCAGCCCCAAAGGTGTGTTATACTAAGTTGGCAGATTCTATCTTCATCTAATTCCTAAGTTAGACTTTTCTTACTTTTCTTACTCCTAGAGTTCTGTATAGCATGGCCTTCTTATTTCTTGTAACATTGCTTTTGGGAATAAAATGTTTGAAAAAAGGAATATAAAGAAGAAAAAATGCTGGAGAATATATAAGGGAAAAAGAACAAGTGTTGAAAAACAGAAACAGAGAAAGGGGGGAGAGATAAATCTGACCACTTTAAAGTCAGTCAGTGTACCTACAGACATTCAGTTGATCAATAAAAGAATGGGATAAACTATGCAATTAAGAAAAAATAATGACAGAGGGGCAGAAAAGACTGGTCATTTTGTCCTGTAATGAAGACCACAGAAGTCATTTTTACATCGGGGTGAAATAATTGTGGCCATAGCTATCTCTGGTCTCATGTTTATACATCACTACAGATCACAAATGAGAAATAATATAAACATATTTACCGAGAACAGTTGGCTTTTCAGATTTAGAAATAGCTCAAAGGGGAAGGAGACATTACTCAGTCATATGTGACTGGCACCCTCTAGTGGCTATTTAGATTTCCTGCATGTGAATCCTAAATAGATTTTGAGGAAAAGACCTTTAGAACAAAAATCTCAATACTCAAGTTATATGTCCTGACATACGGCTTTTTTTCAGTGTGCTTTGGCAGCAGAGCTAAGTTACAAGCGTAGAAATTGGGGAAGATAGATTATTTGTGTGTAACATAATTTAATTATTAAAAATGAGCTACATTGTTGACAAAATGAAATGGCAGCGAGAGAATAGCAAGAAGTCCATTCAAGGGAAGTTTTTTCTACCAATTTGCCATTGTCTTCATTCAACTCTACAGAATTTCCACATGGGAATTTAATTCTGCAAATGAATCGACATGATGCTATTAATTGATATTTACCTATTAATGAACGTACTTGGAAAAATATTATTCAACTAGAAGTCCTTTTCTTATAGTCTAAGACCATCCTTTTATTTATGCTAAGATAGCTCTTTGCAGAGCTTGATATTATTTTTTTATGAATTTGCTACTTAATCCAGTGTTAAAAATCTTCACTTTTATTCTTTACCATTGTTGACCTAAAGGTAGATGCTAAGGCACAAAATATGATTTAAAGAGTTTACTTAAGCGGGGCACAGTGGCCTGTAATCCCAGCTGCTCAGGAGGCTGAGGCAGAGGACTGCTTGAACCCAGAAGTTCAAGACCAGCCTGGACAACATAGCAAGACCCCTATCTCAGGACAAAAAAAAAAAAAAGTTTACTTGAGCCAAGATGAGGACAGTTGTTCTAAAGACTCAGACCCAATTACCTTGGATATAAGCTCCATCAGCCTCAGTTACAAGCAAGCTTTCAAAGGAAAAAAAGATAATTAAAAATTATCAGGAGTGGGCTGACAGAAAGTTGTTTGACCGGCCAGGTGTGCTGGCTCATGCCTGTAGTCCCAGCACTTTGGGAGGACAAGGTGGAGACCAGCCTGGGAAACATAGTGAGACCCTGTCTGTACAAAAAAATAAAAAAATTAGCCAGGTGTGGTGGTGGGTACCTGTATTCCCAGCTACTCAAGAGGCTGAGGTGGGAGAACTGCTTGAACCCAGGAGGTTGAGGCTGCGGTGAGCTCAGATTGTGCCACTGCACTCCAGCCTGGGTGACAGAGACCCTGTCTCAAAAAATAATAATTAAAAAAAAGTCGTTTGACAGGAATTCTCATTGGTTTACAGAGATAACATTAAGTGATTGACTGTACATTGTTGAACGATAGGATAGGAGTTCTGGTGTCCAGCTATAGCATTTCGTGGCTTCTTGGTGTCAGCCTCGGGCCCATGTAGCAGGTGGTATCAAGAGACAATTATTTGGCCAAGTGCAGTGGCTCACACCTGTAATCCCAGCACTTTGGGAGGCCAAGGCAGATGGATCACTTGAGGCCAGGAGTTTGAGACTGGCCTGACCAATATGGCAAAACTCTGCCTCTACTGAAAATATAAAAATTAGCCAGGTGTGGTGCCATGCACCTGTAGTCCCAGCTACTCAAGTGTGTGAGGCACGAGAATCTCTTGAACCCGGGAGGCGGAGGTTGCAGTGAGCTGAGATCACGTCACTGTGCTCCCCAGCCTGCGTGACAGAATGAGACTCTGTCTCAAAAAAGAAAAAAAAAAAAAAGACAATTATTTAGCTCAAGGGGAAGTGAAGTGAAGTGAAGTAACTGCTGTTTCATTCTAATGCCTCTTTGGGCCTGATAATTTAAAGGGGCTCACATTCCTAAGATAAAGTCTCTTTTCTTCTTTTTTTTACATTGTTTTTAGTGATCAGTAAAGAGTAGTATGTTTGATATAGTGACAACAATCCAAACTGATCATAACATAACTAACCATGTGAGTTGTTTGCTAGCCTAAGGCATTATTCGATAGCCAAAAGCAAGCTGTGGTATTGACAAGATTCTTTCACTGTTGCACTTCTGGTACTATAAAGGATGAACTAGATCAGGGCAAGTAAAAAGTTAGCTGGCTGTTTTGTTAGTCCAAGGGAGACAGGATGCAAACCTAATCTAGAGCATTGGCACATAGGATGGAAAAGATGGGTTAGACCAAAGATATTTCTGAAAGAGAATTTCAGGATTACTTACTGAATATGAAAGGAGTGAGAAGGGGAGGAATTAAGAATAACTCTTGAGATTTCCGGCTTGGGAAAATGGGTGGATGATGACACAATTAACTAAGATCAGGAATATAAGATCATTTGTATTTGTACAAATACAAATTTGGAATTCAAGGTTGAGGTTGGCATTTGAGAAACAGATTTGGGAATCAATAAATGAAGCTGTGAGAATAGATAAGGCCATCAAAGAAGCATGCTGGAGAAAAAGGAAGAGGTCTAAGGAAAGCAGTGCAACATCTAGAGGCAGCAAGAGAACCCAAAATAAGAATTATCAGAGTGAGGGAGGGCCTTAGAAAATGGCATTTGAGAAGATCACAGAGGAGAGAGCATCAAGGCACAGTAGTCTACAGTGTTAAATGGGGCAGAAAAGTCAATAGACTGCAGAAAAAAAGCCAACCATTTTGCAATGAATTCAACAGGTTAAAATAACTACCACTTGTAGAGGAGGAAAAAACTTTTTCCTATCCTCTTAGGTTCAGTACCTGGGGCCCTACAAATTAAACTAGCAAAAGACAGATTAACAAGAGTGAAAACTGTATGACATGAGCATATTGGAGCTTCACAGAAAAATTGTAAAAGCCCCCAAAGGCCAATAGACTCAGAGGCTTACATATCATTTTAACAAAGTATGAAGAAAGGGGTTTTGAACTTGAGGTGAGGGATAGGTTGTGTGAGAAGGAGACTTACGCAGATTTAAGTCATCTTGGGTGATGAGAGTTGTCTCCAGAGTCGGTATCCTCTTTCTGGTACCAGAGAGGAGGATAACTTTATAAATAGAAATTGCCTTTACAAAAATAGAAATGTATGCTCTGTTTCTAGAGTTTTTTCTGCATCTTCGGTTCCTCAATTGCCTTCAGCTCAAAGTAATCATTATGCCAAAGTGACATATTTTGGGGAGGCTTCCTCTGATCTCCCTCACATTTGAAAACACGCAAAGTTTCTCTCAGAAAGCAAATAAGTATACTAAACAGGGTAATATAATATAGGCCAAAATGAATCCTAAAAGCTTGTCAAAATTCTTTTATTTTACTAAAGTTTAGATGTAACAAATATTGTTTGCATGGCTCCTTTTATACACACACATACTCTCTGTCTCTCTCTTTTCTAGACCAGAATTTAATCTGTATTAAACAGAGTTTAAACTGCTTTTATTTCAACATGAAATGGCTTATTGAGCTATTTAAAGAAAAATGACTTGAACCAAAAGCCTTCTGTCTTAACTACTCTCAACAGAGTGACTATTGTAAAATGTTGAGCCTATTAACTTCTCAAATGAATCACAATATATAAGGATATCCAAACTCAATAAAGTGAATGGAATTATGGTCAGACTACGAAAATATTATTGAGAAATACATTTAAATAAGAAAACACTTAGTTGATTTGGTTATCAGGTTAAAATGCTTTTACTATTGTAGAACATTTCTGTTTAGTCCACTTAAAGATGAGAAAATTGGCATATTATACAGGAGGCTACTGAAATGCCTGCATTGCAGTAATACTATTGGCATCAAGAGAGATTTATCTCAAGTCTTAAATCTCAGTTGGGTAATTTTGTTTTATAGGTTTTCATGCCCCACCCCAGAAGAATTGTTTTTACTTATTGAAAAGCGATTTTTGAAAAACTGTTAATCTATAGTTTGTCAGTAACTAGTACATAAATATTAATAAATATAAAAATATGCGGTGTTTATTAAAAAAACTAAATTGAACAGAATAATTTTGAAGAATTGGCTAAACCCAGATGAAATAATTAGAAAAGTATTTTAAAACAAATCCTACACAGAACCACTTTTTTTTTTTTTTTTGAGACAGAGTTTCACTCTTGTTGCCCAGGCTGGAGTGCAGTGGCGCAATCTTGGCTCACCACGACCTCCGCCTCCCGGGTTCAAGTGATTCTCCTGCTTCAGCCTCCCGAGTAGCTGGAATTACAGGCATGTGCCACCATGTCCGGCTAATTTTGTATTTTAAGTAGAGTCAGGGTTTCTCCATGTTGGTCCAGGCTGGTCTTGAACTCCTGACCTCAAGTGATCCGCCCACCTCAGCCTCCCAAAGTGCTGGGATTACAGGCATGAGCCATCGCAGCTGGCCTCACAGAACCACATTCTATACAAATGCTTCTTTTGTATTGATGGAACACAACTATATTATATTCTTTGAAGTTGGTTGACTACATATTTTAAATCTTCAGCTACCAGCACAATGTCATGAAAATAGTAAGTCCTCAATTACCGAAACCCCTGTTGACATGAATAATAACTGGGATAAGTAGAATTCTAAAGATGTCCTGCCAAGGCCAGGGCAGCAGCTCATGCCTGTAATCCCAGCACTTTGGGAGGTCGAGGAAGGAGGATCGCTTGAGCCCAGGAGTTCAAGATCAGCCTAGGCAACACAGCAAGACCCTGTCTCTACAAAAAATCAACAAAATTAGCCAGGCATAGTAGCATATGCCTGTA